CACTACACATATATTGACCACCCTGTATATACCTTTCAGAAATATTACAGCAATATTTTGTAAGGATTTTGAAACATTTCGCTTATTACAATATAAGATTCCTGAAATCTTGCTGAAAAATGTGGTAGCTGATTGATCTCATCATTTTTAAGTAAATCTATAAACTTTCAATCACGTTTTGTATCTTTGATGACCTTCGTGGGTTGACAGCCAACTTGCTTGATTGGGAAAGTACCAAGCGCCAAACATTTGGAATATAACCACCGATAAGTTTAGTGGAAATTCATACAGAAATATACTAAGTGACATATAAATCCGAACACCCAGTTTAAATGGTTTTATTTTAATAAAAGTTGGTGAATGTATTTATCTTACTGTAAATAACAAGTGAAAAAATTTTCAGCCTTATCAGTTGGACATTCCGGTTTTTATACTGGTTTTTTTTAATTCACTAACGCTCTAAAAATGAATATTTCAGCCGCAGTAAAGAATCAACGTTGGCGGATTTTGGTTCTTGACATCCTTTCCGATCGGTTACGATGTCTAGAGTACGGAGACCTGTACGATTTCGTCAACTTAGTGAGTTTGATAGGGGCCGTATAGTGGGACTTCGGGAAGCTGGACTTTCTTTTCGGGCAATTGCAGTTAGAGTGCAAAGAAGCGTAGACACTGTGGTTAGGTTTTGTCAGGCATGGCTTCGAGAAGGCCGTACGCAAAGAGCAAGGGGCACTGGACGCCACCGTCGAACAACGGACCGTGAAGATCGCCGTCTAAGATTATTGGCCTTAAGGGACCGTTTCTCCACTACCAGGTCCATTGCAAACAAATGGTTTGCAGAACACGGAAGACCTATTTGCATGCGAAGTGTTTACCGACGAATGAGAAGTTTTGGCTTGTTTTCATACCGGCCTCACTGGGTCCTCCCTTTAACTCGAGAACACCGACGTAATCGCCTTGAGTGGTGCAGACAACGGTCACTCTGGGATCAGGAATGGATCAGTATTGTCTTTAGTAACGAGTCTCGATTTTGTTTAGGCATGCACGATGGTCGTGCCAGGGTTAGAAGGTGACATGGTGAAAGGAGGAATCCACAGTTTTTTGTTGAAAGACATGTTCATCACACTGTTGGAGTTATGGTTTGGGGTGCAATAGCTTATGGTTCCAGGTCACCTTTAATCTTCATCAGAGGTAACATGAACGCGCAGCGTTATATCCACGAAGTTCTAGAACCCCATCTTTGACCCTATCTTGACACCCTGGCAGATCCAACTTTCCAACAAGATAATGCCCGACCACATGTTGCAAGAGTCACAATAGACTTCTTTCAACATAATGATGTCACATTGTTACCATGGCCACCAAGATCTCCCGACTTATCCCCAATTGAGCACGTGTGGGATATGATGGGTAGAAGATTGCTCAATTTGCAACGTCCTCCTCAGACTCTAGAAGCACTTTGAGAGGAGTTGGTGGTTGCCTGGAATGAGATACCACAGGAGGACATTGACCACCTGATCAGAAGCATGCCTAGGTGCGTTGGAGAATGCGTAGCACATCAGGGTGCATCCACACATTATTAAAGGTCAAAGGGCTTTAAAGCAGTGCAATCATTTTGAAATTTTTATCATTTACTTATTATGCTTCATTAAGTACTTATACAAAATTTTATTAAAATAAAACCATTTAAACTGAGTGTTCGGATTTATATGTCACTTAGTATAGTTTATGTTGTGCTAATCAAATGTTCCAGTGGGTGCAGAGCCCAGGAACGTTGTTTATTGGAGATACCTCTTGTGGCTATGCCTGCCCGCATCATTTTGTGAAAACTAAATCGCTAGACAGCCGATATCAGCTTTGGCGCTTCGCAAGAAGAAAGCAGGAAATGCTTTTCGCATTTACAATATTTTCAAGTGATCTTTAAAGACACATCATCAAGATAAAGTGCAGAAACTAGAGAAATGGATGCTCTAGACCTCTAGAGGGTTGTTTTTTTCTTTTTCCAATATGATGCTTGGTTTTTTAACCACATAAGTTACAAGGCTGCACAATTTTAAACACAGCATATTTATTTTCGAAAAAATTGAAAAAAGGTCCTCTGCTCAAAGAGTACGTCCGTACGTATGTTTAAGTACTGATATTACTCGTACGTTTCAGCGTCTATGGCTGTCGGTTTCTATACCGGGTGTTTCAAATTCGACCCTTGAGGAAAATTTGTGTATTTAGGAAAGTAACAAAATGCCGCTTAGAAAGTTTAGAAATTCCGTACAGCGTACAGAGACAGAAAAAACTGAATTAGTTTTCCTTCTTAACTTTTGCACAATATCGTTGCCAGTTTTTCTCCTCTATAAGATAAATAGAGTTTTTAATTCTGGTTGCATTTTGTGTTCAGGTTTCACCATACCCTTCTATTTCCTTATAATTTTTGTTCCAACAATGGCCAACTAAGGAAATAGGTACGTCACTGAATTTTGCAAAGTCCATTTGATTGCACAAAATTACGAAGTAGCGTCGATATCAAAAAACAGAGTTGGTAATCGAAGTCGTATGAAGAAACCTCGAATTGAAATTTGACCAGACCATCTTTTGTAGAGGAGAATTATGCCCATGTGATTTATTTTGAAATCTCAAAAATGAATTTGGGATAAATGTGGTATGCACAACATCATACCTAAGAAATCCTATTTTTTTAAATAACCATGGTTTGGGAATGGCAACGAATGACATATCTACATTTTTTGAATTACAATTAAAAACTATTCATGAAAATATAATATGGCGTCTATAAGAAAAAATAAAGTTGATACTGGAGGACAAGGGCCCAAATGCCATTTTAAAATTTTATTATGCCATCTTTTAGAGGAGAGGAAGTGGCAATGTTAATGTGCAATTCATTTTCCTAAGACAAATAACGTCAGGAAAATTCATGTTTTTCTGTCTCTCCACAGAAGTACTTTGATTTTCGAAACAATCGAAACGGCAATTTGTTCATTGGGCAACTGTGCCTTCATTTAAGTGACTACGTATCTCTTACAGTTTCTGAGGTCTAAATGGTGAGGGTCGAATTAGGAACACCCTGTATAGGGGTAGTGAAAAGCCTTAAGGAAAAGTTCAGTGCTTTCCCTCTCTGTCCCCTTCTTGCTCATCGATGTCTAGCTTCGTACGTCTAACGGCAAGAGAGTTGAAATATAACTTTACCTGTCAGCAGCCGCACACATATTTTCGGATCGCATTTGAAAGTAAAATAGGAATATCCTAAACACGGTTTCGATACCCGGACGGAGAGTGAGGCAAATATGTAAATATCTCTCTTAAAACCCGCTGAAATATGTAGATGTACTTTTAAGTGTTACGTACGCTGTTAAGCGCCCCTGTTTTATACCATTGCCTATGCATATATTCGGAATTTTTCCTCTCGCCAAAATTCAAAGAATCACAACCATATCGGGTGATTATTTTTAACGTAATGGAGTACAGGGGATTTTGTAACTATACAGGGTGTTGCTTAATGATATGCGAATATTTAAGGGTGCGAATCTACAAGAAAAATTAATGTTTGCTTTATAAACTATGGTCCAAAAATGTTTCCTTACAAAGACTCGGGGTGTTGAAGTTTTAGGAAAATAATTAATATTTTCAGAACCGCTTCAGATATTTCACTTATAGGTGGGTACGATAGGTAGGATACGTGGTACGTAGTGAAAGTTCATAAAGTTGCATATTTGTCAATGCAAAATAATTTTAAGCTTTAACAGTGGCGTGCGTACGGTTATTGACTTGAGAAAAAATGGTACGCCAATGGTGCTTTGCCAAATAAAAATTATTTTTGAATTCCCCGTTCAATTTAAAACAAATGATCTATCTCAAATTGTTTTGATGTGCCATTTTTGAGTAGGAAAATAAAAACCGTTCTATTGTCCGAGAAAATTAATGTAATAATTGAAGAATGCAATGTAGCAATAAATATCTAGTTGCTCCGGAATATGCTACTGGCTTTTGACATCTGACAAGTCTCTGTTATTCAAATCTGTTCGCTGTGACATCTTTTCCATTATTTAGTTTTTACAGTCTTGTTAATAATGGCGAATTATTCAAACGCAGAAATGGCGGAAATGCATTACGCGTTGCCGACAGTAATGGTGAGCAAGCCAGATGGATTTATCGTTTACAGATACGGTACTCTGTTTGCAAAATAAACTTTCGATCAAAGAAATCATCATCATGAGCGGGAAGCTACTGGCCTGCGTTTGTCATCGCGCAAAATTTGATGCATCTATCTGTATACAGTACAGAATTTATCATCAAAATGCTAAATAGATACCGCCAGCAAAGACAAATCTTTCTGAAATTGATGACAGCTTGTGATGACAACTGTTTCGGCTTACTGTCAAATGACAATTAAAATCTTCCCTTGAGGAAGCGGTATTAGCTTTTTTCGCGGATCGAATCCCGGACGCCTTCATCTTATCATCGCAAGCGCACTAAAAAAAGACCGTTCGCGGTGACAAAATTTGTTACTCGGGACTAAAAATTCGTTGTTCGTGGTACAACAAAGTTCTGAACATGCTCGTAATGTTTTCGACAGATCCGGTGATAGACGGAGGGATTTAAAATTCAGAACAAATCCTAACCTATAATTCTGTGTCTTTGTGATATAAACAAACATTTATCTTAAATCTACTTTCAAGATGATGCGAATGATGCATTTAAGTTCAAGTGACGAAGATTTGGAAGAATTGAACAAATTGTCTGTAGTTCCAAAAAATGAGAACTTTTGTGAGGAAACTGTGCCCCAATTCAACGATCAACAGTTTTTGGGGCATTTTAGGATAAGCAGGGAAGTAGCAACACAATTATCAAACAGATATGAAGCTTCGCAATATTATCACTACCAAAAAGGTGACTCTGAAAAAATCAGCCCTTTTAAAACAGTTGTGGCCTTTTTATGGTATGCAAGCAATGAAGCTGCAAGCTTAAGGGATGTATCTGACCGGTTTGGGATTACGATTAGCTCTCTTCATAAAATTGTAACGAGATTCACCAATTTTTTATCCAATTTGTCTGCGGAATTTATAAAATGGCCAAATAACGAGGAGAAAATTGAAATTGAAAGCCACTTCAGGCAAGACGAATTTCCTGGTATTATTGGCGTCATTGACAGTGCACACATTGAAATTGACAAGACACAGGATGATTCAGATTCATAGCTTAACAGGAAGCACTTTTTTCGATCCAGGTAAAAAAGCAAAATTTTAAATTTCATTTAAATGTTATTCAAGTATGATAATATCCTAAATGTTTATATAATATAGTTTATTTTTTACAGGCACAAGTTGTTTGCGATCATAAAAGGAAAATAAGGGATATATTTGTCGGATACCCAGGATCCGTACATGACAGTCGAGTGTTTCGGACATCACCATTATTTGGAACACTTCAAGAAAAATGTGGAAACCACTTTATTATTGGAGACAGTGGTTACCATTGTTTACAATATTGCCTAACTCCATTTCAAGATAGAGGTAATTTGACTCGTCGCTAAAGAAATTACAATTATCTTCTTTCGAAAAATAGATATGTAATTGAGCACTGCTTCTGCATACTCAAACAAAAATTCAGACAGCTTTACCATTTGAAATTAAGAAACGTCCAATTATGTGTTCACTTTATAAGAGCCTGTGCTGTATTGCACAACCTTTCAATAGAAGACAATTTACATGATTTTGAAGTTCCACCAGCACCAGAAGCACAGAATGAAGTAATTGTTGGACAAGCAGGGCGAGATGCAGGAAATGAAAATCAGGATGAACAAACTGGGATAACAAAAAGAAATGAAGTAATGAATAGCTTAAATTTCGTTATTTAGTATGTAATGTGTATGTATTTTTAATAAAAGCTTTTTGAAATAAATTTAAAACAAAGTAGTGTTAATTAATTAACTAAATAATGAAAAAATAAATAAACAAAAAAAACAACGAAATTCTCTAACTAAAATAAAAATACTGCACAATTTAAAACTTAAATTATACTAATTTAAATTTGATCTAAATAAATATAGAAAAACATAACAAAATTCTCTTAAAATATGTAATTCAAAACTTAACATCTAAATTATTTGAACAAAAAAATTAAACCTTTAAAAGGATATCAAGGTGTGGATTAGATCTTCCTAAATGTTGTTTTATTAATTCATTTGTGTCCTGTAGAATGTCATTTTTTCTTTTTTTCTGTTAATTTTCTTTCCTCAATTTACAAAAGGTTGTTGTAAAATTCTTTTCTATCTTTCCGAATTTCAGATAAAATTGTAACTTTAAGCCTTTTATTTTTATTCATATTTGTAATCCTTTGAGGAGCTATTACATCAGTTGCCTTGCTGCTGGTGCTGAGTAGCTCCTTGGTTTTAGGAAATTCTACCAGATTTTCCTTTTCATGATTATGTCCTGTAACCAGCTGTGTTGTTGGATGAATAACTGTGTCGGATGACAATAATACAACAGGATGAATGTTTCGTGTTTTTACCCAAAATATCTTCCACTGCTTCTGCATACTCAAACTCTCTTCTTCCTCTTCCAGTTTTATTGTTGTTGTCCACATATTTGTTGAACATTCTCTCCAGATGTTTCCATCTGTTTTCACAATTTGATCCTGTTATATTTTGATTGGTTTTTTGTCTTTCTTCATACATTTTTTTTAAATTTTTAATTTTTAAAGACCCAACCAAGTCTCTATATTTTTTATATAGGTCCAAAAAAATAAAAGTCTTGGTGTAATTCCATTTAAAGGATTCCACTTCAGCCTGGTCTTGAGAACATGAAGGAAATAGCAGAAACTCTGACAGATCTAACAAAATAGTAATTTTTTAATTATTTATTTATTGATGGGTTAAAAAAACTTACCTCCTTTATCAGACATTTTAAAAAAAAAATGGGCGACATACTTGCTGGACTTGATAAAAAAATACTCAAATTCAAATAATAAAAGTCAAAACAAAAACTCTAACCTTACTTTTGTGCAGAAAGAATTTGGTAGGTTTTGCTGGTCGCGGACATTAAACATTCCGAACTAATTACATCACGCGCTTGCGCATTTCAAACATACCGGAGGTACTTTATTTGTGTTCGGAATACGCTCTGGATTAGCTCCGCGAAAAAAGCTATTGTCTCACTCTTTACAAGGAGATATCCATTGTTTCCAAAGAAGCCTCAAGCCTCATAAATCTGACTCCAAATACCCTGTTAGTAACGCCACTGGTGACTTGACAGCCCTTGAGGCATCGCGGTGATGCGGCAAAGGGGCGCTTGGACGAAAAAGCATCTGTCTCGCGCGAGTTGATCCATCAACGTTCTGCGTTATCATCACGAGACACCCACGCTGCATGGCCTGGCCCTGGCAGCTGTTGGAACACTGTTAACAATCCTTGTTCGTCGAAGATAGCTTAATTAGGTGAGTTCCACTTTGAAATCTGAATGTCTTCTTGATGCCTTCCACTTAACATTGCTTTCCTCTTCGGCTAATGGAAATATAAGCAGCGATTTTCTATTTTTATCGGCTAAATTACTTATTCGGGGAAAGTTATTTCGTATTACGAGCACGTGAGAGTTACGTTTCTCTACTTGATGAATGCATTAATTAAGTCCGATAGACAAGCTTTCAAGGTTCTACTCGTATGTATTCAAATGGAATGTGTCAGGCACCAAAAATTAACCAGCCTAACAATTTCAAAAACCTGACAAGTCACACACACACATTTCGAATTTTTCAGGAGACAATAAAAACACCTATAGTATTTGAGTTTTGAAATATTAGAATGTCGTTTAATATTTACAGTTTATTAATACTAGGAGGGCCGTTTTTAAAGTAAGAACCATTTTGTAAATTGTAGCACAAGCTAAAATATACATAGTTATAATAGAAGTTGAAACAAGCTAAGTACACCAAAAAGTAGAAAAGCAAAAAAATGTTTAATAAAGAAAAAAAACATGATTGCGTAATCAAGTCATTGAAGTAATGACGATTTCACTTTCTTTCTGAAAACTGGTATTGTTTATACAGTTTATACAATTTTGGTAAGTAATCATATATGAAAGAAGAAGAATGAAATAGAGGTATTTAATACTGAGGTAACCTGATAATTTCATTTCTAAGTGATCTAGAATGGTTGCATCTTTTTTTGCAGGTAAGGCGTAATGTAAGGACGAGTAGGTAATAATTTATGGAAGGAAAAATGATCAACTGTGTGGAATACAAAAATAAAACGAAGACACAACCATTTTGGATGGTTTGAAGTAGGTTTTTGGAATAGCTGTCCGAACATGTATAGTATACTACACAAAAGTAATTTAGAACTTACTCGTATATGACACAAGTCAGTGATTTTGATAGGAAAAAAGAAACCTCTCAAACAAATGATATCGTGCAAATCGGAAGAGATCGGCAACCCTATTTTGCAGTTAGCGAACTTAAAAATGGTATTTTGGTGCATATAGCGCATAAATATGTATGATGAAAATAGATAAAGGATTCTGGTTCTGGTACTGTTTTAGAAATGACCGGTACCCGATGTCAAGTAGTGCTAACAAAAGCCATAAAGGTCGCAGGTTTACGTGCATTACGCGATACCATTTGAGGGAGAAGCAATGTTTTTATTAACAACAGCTGTCAGAATACGTTTAAAATAGTTTTGGGTAGTTAAGGTTTTCAAAATGGGTAGAGGAAAGGTTATTAGTGAGAAAATTCGGTTACTGATAATTACATTTTTTAATTCTGGGAAATCAAACTCAGAAATTGCAACTTTGTTAGACTTATCGCGGTACAGTGTGAGAAATATTGTTAGAAGATATAACGTAACTGGTTTAGTTAATATTAAGCCACGATATGTGAAAAAAAGTAATATCACAAATGCTGACCGAAGAGCATTAAGAAGAATAATCGTGAAAAACAGGCGTGCCAATTATTTACAATTAAGTGCTCTGTGGAGTGACGCTGTTGGAAGGAGAATTTCGTGGTCCACAACTCATAGAAAGGCCCACAAACTGGGATTTAGCACTTGCAAGGTAAGTTTTCTTATAAAAAAGTGAAGTAAAAACCCTAAAGTTGCACAACTTGTTTATAGGCCAAAGAAAAGCCACTATTAACTCCACTGCAAAAGAAAAATCGGCTTAGATGGGCTAAAGAACATAGACAATGGACACATCAACAATGGTGTGCCATACAATGGAGTGATGAGGCCCGATTCGAAGTTTGTGTTGGTGACAGTCGCAGTAGAGTTATTCGCCCAAAAAAATGAAGCATTTCATGTTGACTGTCTGAAGAGAAAAGTGAAATTTCCAGCATACATTATGGTCTGGGGCAGTATGTCATCAAAAGGAGTAGGAAAACTTCATTTTATTGATGGAAATGTGGATACAAACAAATGTTTGGCAATTTTAGAAGGATCGCTTTTACTAGTGATAGAAGAATGTTTGACATCCGGCCAGGATTTTATGTTTCAGCAAGATGGTGCAGCGTGCCATACCTCAAAGAAGGCTATAAAATGGATGGAAAAAAATAATGTACCACTTTTGAAATGGGTTTCTAGCAGTCCAGATCTGGCACCTATTGAAGCTTTTTGGCACGAGATGAAAAAGGTTCTACGACAACATCCTGCTCGTACAATCACCGAAATGAGACAAAAGCTTCAAGAAATATGGGATTGTTTTACATCAAATTTTTGCCAAAACTTGGTTAACACTATGCCCCAAAGAATTTCAGCTGTTATCAAAATAAAGGTGATGTTACCCAATGGTAATCTTTCAATTGTTGCTTTGTTAAGTACGCGCATTTATTCGTTCGTTGTTTATTTGTTCAGATGTTCTATTAGTTATAGGTCTAAGTGATTTCAAATATGTATTTTTTACGACTAGAGTGTATCTAAAATGTTTTTGAGAAAATAAGTTGTTTTGGAAGTAAATAGTTTCGTCATGTTTAGTTTATAAAGGCATATTTTGGTACAAATCTTGAAGTGGGCCAACTGAAGTGGGAGGGGGCTCGTAGTTATATAGCGAGAGCCCCTTGTATATCTCCCTAACTGCTGTACTTATATCTTATCTTTGTAAACAACCCCATATTATAAATTCTTGCTTGTGCGGTTTAGGCATCAGTTGACATCAGATATTACTTCATGTTACATTTATTAGTCAATCGCGTGTAGGTTCACGTAGGCTTAGGTTTGGTAACAAAACCATTGTTGCCTGAAACAATACTTGCACTTTAAGTAAATAAAGTGTATCAAATCGCCTGTAAAACGTTTTTTAAAAATGCGAACTCGCGACGCGATACCTAAATTATATTCAGAATCCGCATCTGCCTTTAATAAAGCGTATCCAGAAAAAACAGCATTTCGGGACGATATGTAACTGACTGGTTTGTATCTTGAATATTTGTGAAATGAAATAAAATACTATTGACCACTCTGTATATGAAATATCCGTAAAAGTTCATGAGCATTATTTGTGGCGTATGATCCAACTACCATAAAATTGAAATTTGTGCAACGAGCCGTGTTTGAGGTTAAAACTATGCCGGGCTACGTTATAGTAGAGAATGTGGCATAAACCTTTATCCATAATATAGTAAACAGCTAGACCTCGGGCTGAAGCAAAAAAGTACGATACAAAAGTATCTCGAAAAAACAGTAACCGTTGGTCTAGTATGATCAATTATCTGTGTAAAACTAGCTTCGCCTAATGTGAAGACGAAGCTTTAAGGCTGCTACACACAGTGCCGCCGGCTAAGCCTCCGTACACCCGGCGGCATACAAAAGCACCGGCCTTGCCGCGCAAAGGAGCCGCCGGGGTGTGCCGGCGGGTTACGCGGCTTGCCGGCGTCACTTCGTTCCTGGCATTCGAGAGGTAGTGT